AGTCTCCGCTATCGAGAGTTACTGTGTAACATATTATTTATGGAATATTAAATAATTATGACACTCGAGATTTGTCATTGTGATAAATAACCGGAAAGCATACCTTCATACCAAACAAAATGAATTTTCTGGACGTTTTTCGCGTTGTGGCACGAAGGGGTGACTTCGTTGTTTGTTGAAAGGAATTGAACAACAATTGGATCCGAAAATATATTTGGTGATGAATGCACAGGAAGTGAAGCAAGGTGTTGTGAGATAAAAAAAATAAGGGGATTATCGTTAGAGGTGATAGTTGGAATTAAATGTTTTATAAATACATAATCAAATGATAAGTTAATGGATGCATTGATTAACGATCATCCGTTCCACAAATATAAAGTCGTCCACGGTATTTTTAATGATAAGCAAAAAACAATAGTGAGATTATTTTTTGCTTCTCTGTGCCGAATTTTCACGTGACGTTACAGATTCTCACATGTGTCATAGGCTAAATATTCACGTACATGGATACGGAATCGACCCAAATTAGGATAGGGGATACGACTAGAGTTAATGTTAGTGCTTAGTGCTGGTAAGATCAGTTTTTCTAAATCCATGCTAAGCAGATTCTCGCTTACAAACATATATCGTTATAATATATCGATATTGTCACTAAACAAACTAAAATACTTTTCGAGAACACCCTATTAACGTTAAGATTTATTGCTAAGGTTTGTCAAAAGATTTTATATTTTACGTAATTGAATTAGCTCCATTTTTCGTCCAAAGAAAGAAATAAATATCCTGACTTTTATTTTTCTACCTCCCTCTTCTACCTTTTTGGTGAATACAAAAGGTTTTTTTTTTGGCAGCTGACACACCTCGTCCCCTTACTTTTCTCAACTCTACACGGCTAATTAACACGGAACCGTTTATTATACATATACCTTTGACCTGTTTCCTGTAATTCTCAAGATTACCTTTTCTTATTTCTATTCCTTTTTGTTTGACTTAAAAGCAAATAAATTATTGAGAATTCATTTAAATCTTTGCATTATAAATTCCATACATTACAACATTACACGCATGTACTCCAATCAACCTTTTTGATATATAGTACAGGTCAATTCATTAGGAGAATTCTTTCCAATTTACTGTCACCATAAATCAACACCAATATGGGGAATACAATTGGCAAAGACAAGAATGAGGATACAGTGGACGGCGGGAACCTAGTTCCACACGGCATATACAAAGGACCACAAGACTGGGACTATCGAGCGGTTCGTAAACTCATTATTGAGCGGAAGCTCTCTCCTTTTTATAAAGGATTGTCAGACTACGACGATAACTGGGATGAGGTCACCCTGACTACCCACAACCTTCCGAAAAACGGTGAAGCTACTAAAAAAGCTGGGACTTTTAACAGTAACGACAGTAATTTATCATCATCTTCTTCTTCGTCGAATAATAAAGAGCAAAAGCGTACTCTTTCCCCCTCAAATACTGCAGTTGCTTCTAATACTAGTGGCACAGTTGGTCAACCGAAGGGAAAAGAGATGTTACCGGCAAAGTCACTTGAGGCTTTATTGTATAAAGGCGCTGTAGAATGTCCTATTTGTTTTTTAGTGAGTGGTTTAATTAATAGCTTTTGATTTATTGAAATAATGAATGATATTTATCAAAAAAAATAATCATTGATAATTTATGTTAAGACAGAAATACGAAAGTGAAAAGATCATTGGATTTTTTATTTATTTTAAAATTTTCTTTTGTTTGATATTAAGTTGATTTTTTTGAGATCTTACAGAAAAATAGATATCCAAGGGTTTAATAATAATAATAATAATAATAATAATAGTGAAATAAAATCACAAGTCATTTTTTAATTAAATTATTTATCTATAATATATTAATTTTGTAGTATTACCCGCGTAACATTAATCATTCAAGATGTTGCGATAAACCGATTTGCACAGAATGTTTTGTACAAATCAAACGACCTGAGGCTGGTAGTTTAGGCGCGAATAATTCACCGGCAGTTTGTCCTTTTTGTGTTGAACCAAATTTCGGTGTTTGCTATACGCCACCGTCATTCAGTGCTGGACTTAATGCTACAGAGACGGGGGTAAGACGAGAAATTAGTTTCTCTGAATTTTTCATGTTCATTTTATACAGTCGTCGTTCCCTCTATAATCACCCCATATAATCACAACATAGTTATAGTCACACTTTTATTAATATTCTTCAAGTCCCTTTTACTGAATCATTATAGTAAAAAAAACCCTCTATATAGTCACAAATCTCTTTAGTCACTAAAATCATGAAATTTCACTATGGGGCCCGACCTCTGTGACTATAGAGTGGGACGACTGTATGTTTTATTTTAAGAGTGATTGTTTTTGTTAGTCATTTCTGATCGTTTGATTTTCGCGTTTTTATTTAGACTTCTGCATTCTCTTCTAGTACTCAAAATTCATCAAACTCTTTACTTTCCGCACCTTCTACTAATACTCCAAATCTACAGGATCCAAAGACTCGACGGAAAAGCTTAAGTCATAAAAATTCCGAAGTCGTTACATCCGGTAAGTGTTTTTTCCTCCTTTTTTTTTAGATTATCAATTCTTATTACTTTGCTTAATAAAAGTCTATATAATATAGATGCCATACGGCCAGATTGGGTTACACGTGTTACTATGCAACCGACACGTGGGCAACAAGGTTCACGCCGATCATCAGCCTCAACGCCAAATAGCACGCCTTCACGACGCTTAACTGTAAGGCCAGCAGGTGGCACAACCACATTCGTTAATCCGCCAACATCATCTTCCCGACGTAATAATAATAACAATAATGCATCTAGTGGAAACTCGGAATATAGCGGGTATCTTGCAGCAATGCGTAATATGGGCACAGATTTGGAGGAATTAATGGTTATGGAAGCAATACGATTAAGTATTTTAGAACAAGAGGAAAGAGAACGACGGGAAAGAGAAGAGAGTACAAGAGCCGAAAATGGTGAAAATAATTCAAATGGAGATGATAGTAATAATAACAATAACAATACTACTATTTCTAATACTGCTAATAATAATGCCACATTACACGAAGAAGGCGAGGATCAGGAAGAGGAGGACGAAGACGATGGTGATGAGGAATTGAACACAATCTCTGGAGGTTCTCTTACAACAAATATAAGAAGACAATCAAATGAATCCGAAAGGGGTTTGTTGTCACTTGTAAATTTAGCTTCAAGTAGTGATGATACAGAAGATGACGAAGAAAATGATGATGATGATGTTGATAATGACGACGATGAGGAGGAGGAGGGAGGAGAACGAGATGATTGGATGAATACTGAGGAAATTATAACTACTACAAACAATAATAATCGTCATCCAATAACATCGACAATGACGTCTACACATGCAGAAGATGAAACAATAATAAGTATGTCCACTGAATCACTCGAGTCTGGATTACCATCGAATTCATTAATGAATCATGATCAATTATCAACGAGAACGGCCACGGCATTATTTGCTCCATTTACAGGCTCAACCCTCAACATAGCTACCTCATCGACATCAAATTTCAATGATGTGCTCCCTCCACCATTTGAAGACGATAATAAACCACCACCACCGATTGAACAGGATGAAAATAATAGTCTCGAAGCTCAAGCATCATCTACTCATTCAAGCAGAGACATCAAAATAGCACCATTAATTATTTTAACGAATAATAATAATAATAATAATAATAATAATAATAATAATAATAATAATAATAATAGTAATAAAAATAATACAGATTCTATTACTATTGTACAAAATGATAATAATAGAGATTTAGATTCTAGTGGTTCGTGGGAACCGGCTTGAATTATTGCGATTCATTTAACGGGGTAATATGAGAATGATGTAATATGAGGGATAATTATTATAATTACAATACGAGAGGTTGCAACTGCTCTTGCATAGAGAAAATCACAATAAGAAGAGAAATTGTCACTAAGTAAATGAAGCAAAAATGTGGTTTATATTAATTATCTCATTCTATTATTTTACTATTATTCTTTTTTTCTTACAAGGAAATTATGCATGGATATTTTTTTCTCAATTTTTATCATTAATTTTTATTTAATATTATTATTGGTAATTATTTGCATTTTTCCCCCTTTTTTTTTGAGAATGTTTGATGGCTTTGGGAAGGCGGAAGTGAAGCACGTATATTTTTCGTGTCGAGAAATGCATGTAGTTTATATATAATATATATTTGTAGAATATTTTCTTGATTTCGCATTTAAATGATCGAAGTGTGATTATTATTTTTTTATTGTATACAAGTATTTCCCTTTCTACTTTTTACTAAATTTACACCATTGCTATAATTAACGACGATTCGATCTTTGTTATTATTTATCATGTGCATGCCTTAAGTATGCCCTTATACATATATCGCAATGATTGTTACAAACCACAAAAAATTTATTCATTACCAAATGTGTCATAGATTTTAAAGTAAAAAAAAAAGAAATTTGAATCATGCCGAAAATTTGTAATATAAAGAGCTGGAGGAGACATTAATGAATGGTGGCATCGAAAACAACTTGATATATGCAGAAACCACCAGAATATAATGAGTATTATATATCTCATAGTTGGCTATTTATTTATTAAATTTGCATATAAATACAGAAAACAAAAAATTATAGATAGAACAATGTTTAATCCATAATTTACTAATTGTTTATTGCCTTGGCAGCCAGTATGCGAAAAAAGAAGAAAATGTGATGGTAATTCCAAACACAAACACCATGGTACAAAGATCTTCCCAGAAATTATTCCAAATTAATCGGTACCGCATCAAAATGGTGATTACTTGTGGCAACGGGTATGGAAGATTTGGTACGAAATTGATAGAATCATGGAATGGCTTGTTCTATTATATTATTATATCAATCAGTCAAGTGTAATCAAATGAATTACAGTAATTCAATGATGCAATAAAGAATACCTCTTGCAATTGTTGCTGGTCTAAGAAAAACCGTGTTGCATGTAGAATGAGCTCCAGCGTTATAAAATACCAAAATAGAGGGATACTTAATTCATTATTACTCAAATAATTTGGGTTATCGTAAATTAAATAATTAAAATGATGCCACGAGTTAACTCCAAATAACAATTTATAACTAACAATATAAAGTGCAAGCGAAAACGTTACTACAAAATGGATCAATTGCCATGTTTTAGCTCTTGAATTCTTCGAATTGTTTTGTCCACCGATCCCAATACCAAATGTTGATCCAAGTAACCTCATCTCAGGGGAAAGGAACGGAAACATTGTTTGTGGTGATGTCTCTTCACTTGATGATAACAATGACGATTGAAATAATTGTTGCTGCTGTTCTTCTAATGATGACTTTGATGATACATTAAACTCACCAGGAAGTGAGGTGTCACCCCCTGCTCCACTAGTCGAAGTAAATGATCCGGTGCTAATATTATGTTTACGCATATTTTCAAGCATTTGTCGCAAATATTCCTCTTCATTAATATTTATATCAGTATTACTATTATTATTATCATCCTCAATAAACGAATCAAAAGAGCTTGATCTATGTATACTAGTAGGTGTTTTTATATGTGGCATTGAGCTTGAGGAGGCTAATGAACCGGATTCAGGTTTTTCGTGTATAATAGAAGAGCTTATTTGATCATTATTGCTGCTATTGCTATTCAGTATTATCGGTGGTTGAGAAAATGACGAAATAGAAGCTAGAAATTGAAAAAAGAAAATCTCATTATTTAGAAAAATTACTTTATCCATTCTCTCTTCAAATAATTACATTTTCTACTAGAAATAACAGGATTAAATGGTGCGTCACTACTAGTCGGCGAAGACTGCTGACTTGGCATTGGAGAGGTGAATAAAGATGGAGTTTCCCCACCATGTACTGTAGTAATTCGATGCAATCTGTCTCCGGCTCCTTGTAAAATCTTTTGTTGACGCCTTTTACGTCTTTTTTCTTCAATTGTTAAATCTCTTTTTGGACTTTCAGACATTTTTGCAAGGGAAAGAATAAATATGAAGTTAAATTGATTGGAGTACCTAACCACGGCAAAAAAGCGTCAGATCATGTGATTTCCGAAGACACCGACCCGATACTTTTATCCGAAAATGTAGAACCAGTTGACGAATAAAATTATTTTATTCGTCGATGTTACCGTAATTTCACCGCATAAAAGACCCGGGTATGTTACATTTTAGGTCTTGAATTTTTTTGAATTAGACCCTTCCGGATCTATTGTTCAGAGAAGGATATTATATTTGGGGGGAGGGGTATTCTGTTAATTGCATATTATAATATGTTCAAACATATCTAAATTTTTTTCAAACATAATGATAAATGATACAAAATAAAAAAATATTAAATGTGGAAAAAAAAAGAAGTTGGAATATGCATGAAAAGCTGACTATTATTACCTATCTTGAAAAAACAGGAGCAAGCAAATGTAATACAGCTATATAATTTGATATTAAGCTGAAGCAAATTTGTAAATAGATAAAAAATCCTGAATTATTACTTGTAAAATTATAGAACAAGATCAAAATATTCAATATTAAAAGATCTTGTCAACTGGATTAAATTCTTCTAAATATAATAAAAAGTTATATAATTTAGACAAAAGCAAAAAGCTTGTCTCAAATATTAAGATTTTTAGTCTTATATTCCAATATTGAAAGTTACTTATAGAATGAAAACTGATTTGATAGTTTATGAATTGACAAAACTTAGTAATCAGTGAATAAATAATAATTACACAAAGATTATTTGCAGATTTAGAAGTACAAAAACAGAAATTTCTAAACTTTATCTTATATTATTGAATTTAATATAATTATTTATTTATATTTATTAATAATATGAATAAAATACCATTAAGTTTTAATCTTTCTAGCAATATAATTAGTATTTGAATAATAAGATATGAAAAATTAAATTTATAATAGTTTTTACTTATATAGCTAATAAAATAAAGCTATTATCAATAATTATTTTCAAGCTTGTTAATATTTTTCATCAAATATTTTCAAATAGAATTATAATTTGCATTAACTAAAAGAGTTATATAAATAATAATAAAATAATTTGATAGATTAAAAATATTAAAGAAAAAATATAAATATATCATATTTATTTCAAAAGAAACATGAATTTTTGAGATATATTTTAAGTTTTAAATTAGAATCATACTTATTTTTAGATATATTTTTTTGAATAATAAATATATAGTACTTATAGAAAGTATCATTTAATTTATATATATAACTATTTTTTAAAATATATTTATCAAAGTTTTCTTTCTTTTTTAATAATAAATATCACTTTATTTATTTTTTATTACTTTATCAATATTATAATTTATTAAATTAAAAAATAATATTCATTTATATTGTAATCAACCATCTATTTGTGTGATACAGTAGACGTGATGCAATATATGATGCAGCTGCAGTATATAGTACAGTAATCACTAATCACTACTAAATCAGATGAATAAGTAATTTTTATTAATTAATCTTATTTATAATTAATTCTATTTTTAATTTATATTAT